CTACTTACATTTTAACAACTTTGTGTTAACTGGAAGTTAAGCAGACACAGAAAGCAACAAAATTATTTTTTCATAAAAGCCAGGTAGTCTTTTGTTTGCTTCAGAATTTGTAAAAAAAAAAATCTGTAGAACGTGCATAGGAGGTAATGGAAGTGATAGGTTAGGTCCTATTAGTATAATTCCATGCATGCTAAACAGATGGCAGACAGCATGCTGGAAAGGTACCTTTTCTGTTTTATATGTTTTGTTATTTGCTTTAAGAACAACTGGTTTATTTTACTCATTATTCCCTCTTTTGTTCCTTTTTCTTCCATTCTTTGTTTTGTATTGTTTTTACTAAATTTGCAAGATTGCTTTTTATCTGACATGATATCTTTTGCTGTGGACCTTTTTCACAATATTGGGTACAGTACCTAATACTGCAATACCTAATATAGTGAAAGATTATAAATTAATGAATATGTATTATTTATTTGTAGCCAAGATTTTTTTTAAAAAGCAAAGCCATATTTCCTGAGCCTTTCAGTTGAATTTCAGAATACTTCCAGCAGATTCTTTGTTGGCTTGGTTTCATTTTTTTAAAGCAGAGATTGCCTTTAAGTCCTAGGCTTTTTTGCAAACGATAGTTTATTTGCACTTCTACCAATTAACTTCCTTGTGACTTTTGTAAATCTTAGTTTTCATGATAAATCCAACTGTAGCATGGAATTCTTCAATTTTCATTTCCCTCTAGGATTCTATTCAGTGGTCACCTAAGTTAACAGTAATTTTCATATTTGAAAATGATGCCAGTGACGGCTGGAAACTCGTTTGAGAATCAGTTGGATTGTCTCCTTTATGATGGTGAGTTTACCCTAAGAAGAAGAGTTGTGCTTAGTCTTCAAGGCTGGCTAATGTTCTAAAACCGGCCTTGGATTCAATAGCGGTCACCTAAGTTAACAGTAATTTTCATATTTGAAAATGATGCCAGTGACGGCTGGAAACTCATTTGAGAATCAGTTGGATTGTCTCCTTTGTGATGATGGTGAGTTTACCCTAAGAAGAAGAGTTGTGCTTAGTCTTCAAGGCTGGCTAATGTTCTAAAACCGGCCTTGGATTCAATAGTCCTTTTGCTAAGAATCTAACCAGCTTGGGGCTGCTGTGCATGACTGTGAGAAAGAGGCCTGAAGTCTAGCTGGCTCCTGAGTGCTGTGGGCTAGTGGTGGCCTTGCCGAGATGGGTTGTGTTTGGGAAGCTCTGTTTATTTTTTTTAAATTTTAATATTTCTACCACCTTTTTATTTTGAAACTCTTCAAATTTCCAGAAATGCAGTGAATGCAAACACACACACACACACACACACACACACAAACAGATACCTCTTCAAATTTCCAGAAATGCAGTGAATGCAAACACACACACACACACACACACACACACACACACAAACAGATACACACACACACCCTTCACATAGATTTGCCGATTAACATTTTGCCACATTTCCTTTGTCTGTGTGTGTGTGTGTGTGTGTGTGTGTGTGTAATAATTTTTTTAACTGATCCATTGGAAATTGCAGATATCAAAAACTGCATCTATAAATATATCAGCATATGCTTAACCCCTAAATACATAGATCCTTCAAGCCATTATCTCCCACAATACCATTATCACATCTAACACAATTACAGTATTTCTGTAGTCTTTATTGAAATTTTCCCAGTTTTCCCCCAAATTTCTTTATAGCTGACTAGCTGTCTTACAGAATCCAGGCCACTTGTCTTGTACACTTGTCCCACATTCCAGCTCTCTGACTGCTTCCTCAGGATCAGATTTAGAACACATGAAGGATACTGTGGGTGATACTGTGTCCTTCTCATTGCATCACCCCAGGAGGTCAATTTGTCCCACTGTTGATGAGGGAAAGACTGATCTCTTGAATAAGGTGGTGACCACTAGACCCCTAGAAAGCTACTTTTAGTTTAAAAGTAGCTTTCTCTCTTTGTAACTAGTAAGTAATTTGCAGTGTATTATTTTGAGTCCATGTGAATTTTTTATTCTCCTATACCTTTCAGCCAGTGGCTTCAGCATCTGTTGATGTTTGACCCTTGCCCAAAATTGATAATTAACTTAGAAGTTGTAAAGCAATGATTTTCTACTTTTGTCAGTTCTTGTACTTTTGTAACTGGTATTGTTCAGTAAAGAAGCTTTCTTTTTCCATTGCCTTTCTCCCTCACAGTGTGTGTGTTCACGTGCACGCCCACACACATATACACTTAAATATTTGTGCACCACATATTGAGTGTGTTATAAGGCATTGTCATTGTTCTTTTGATGTTCAAATGGTCCCACATTTGGCCAGTGGGAGCCCCTTAAAGCTGGCTCCTCTGTCTTTTTGAGCGCTTCCTTGTTTTCTGGCACAGGAATATGTCTTACGCTCATTTTGTACTTTCTCTGTTTACAATCAGCCATTTCTCTGAGATATTCAGTTCCTTATACTGAGAAATTGTATTTAGAAACCAAGATTTGGGTGCTAGGGCCCACCCATTGCTCTCAGGGTTTCATTGCTTTTATGCTCTTTCAGGGAACAAAACTAGGAAATCATATTTTTTAAATGTTATGGGAAATAATATTTTTTAAAGATCATGGGTTATATTGATTTGTCTAAATTATACCTAACATTATAGGTTTTTCCTTTTCTTCTTTTATGTTTATGTCTCATTTACAATAAAAGTTTGGTCGCAATAAATTTAATGTATTTACTTATTGCTTTATGCTTCACTATACACAAAATATTTCAGAATTATAATATAAATATTATGACTCACAGTAGCCTACCAAGTAAAGTTGAAGATTTTTTTTGCAATTATTTTTTGTTGTTAGAAATTAGATTTACTTGTTTCTTTTACATTTTTAGAGTTTCTTTTGAAAATTTAATTCTTTAATATGTAAAACATTAAAATGCTTCAAAGTTTAACTGTATACGAAGGTATATCCAGGGGAGTCTTGCCCTCATCCCTGTGCCCCTTGCCCAGCCCTTAAGAGATAATGATTTTTATTAGTTTCTACTTTATCCTTCTTATATATATGTTTGCACTAATATTTTGTTCTTATAATTCAATGAGTAAATTGTGCTTATGTTGTGTATTTATGGGGGTGTGTCTTCTGGGTAAACTGGTGAAAGTGGGATTGCTGCGGTGAGTGTGTACATAGTTTTGTGAGAGCACTCTCATCCCACTGCAGAGGGTGTAGATTTGCTCCACCAGGAGTGCGTCTGTGTTTCTTTACAGACTCGCCCCAGACTTTTGAACTTTTGCTAGTCCTTTAGTTGAAAAGTATTATCTGAGTGGTTTTAACTGTACTTTTCTTATTATGGGTACATCTGAGCCATGTTTTTGGGTTTTTTTTAAATGTAGTTTAATTGGTCAATTTTCTTTCTTTTTTTTTTTTTGGCAGCTGGTACAGGAATCAAACCCTGGACCGTGGTGTTACCATGTTTTTGGGTTTTTTTTAAATGTAGTTTAATTGGTCAATTTTCTTTCTTTTTTTTTTTTGGCAGCTGGTACAGGGATCAAACCCTGGACCGTGGTGTTATCAGCACCATACTCTAACCAAGTGAACTAACCAGCCAGTCCATGTCCCATGTTTTTGTTTTAATTGCTTCTGAATTTTGAGTCATAGTTAAGAAGGATTTTCCCATATCTAGTTTATAAAGGAATCCACCCATGTTGTGTGCTAGTACTTATTTGGTTTTATTTTGTATGTTTAGCTCTCTGACTCATTTGGAGTTCATGGTGTACGGTGTGAGGTTTCAAGCCAGTTTTATCTTTTTCCAAATGGCATTCAGTTGTCTCAATATCACTTATCAAAAAGTCTACCTTTTCTCCTGCAGGGAAGTAAGGGAAAGAGGTCACTGGTTCAAAAAAAAAAAATTTTACTAAATTAGCACTCTGATGTTTGATCTAAGTTTTCTTAAGTGTCAGTTTTATTGTGCAAAGCCTGAAGAAGAGATTGAAGCTCGACTCAGACACATCTGGGCTTCCTAATATAATTGAATTTATACCTCAAAATTATAGGTCCTTGCTTTCGATACAACACATTTACTGTGTGAACGGACAGGGAAGGCCGATCCTGAGAGCAGGCACTCTGAAGAGCAGCACTGGGTTTAAATGTACTACCAGTTAATGTAGAGTTCACATCGGGTTAGTTCACATTGGGTTAGTTCACATTGGGTAAGATCCCAGGCCATGGGCTTCACCGGACACTATTCAACAAGTAGGAAAATGCATATTTTGTTGTTCTTGTTGTTGTTAATTGTGAGGAGGTGTATTGGAGAAGATACTGAAGGCATAAGCATTGTTCTCAAGTGGGAGGCAGTACTCCTGCTCTCTAGGAGGTGGGCGTCTTTGAAAATGGGGGGTGGGGGGTTTAAGATTGGAAAAGGATCAGGAATGAATGTTAAATGACCTGCAGTATGGAGGAAGGTTGCCTATAAGAGAGCTGTCACATCCAAAGTGCCAATAGCATTTCTGTTGAGAAACAGACACTTAAGAGAACCTGTTTGGAAAGAATGGAGTTTAAAAACTCTAGGAAAAGTTTCAGAGATGTCATTGTGGATGAGACTTAGAGCCTGCTCTTTCCAGCATTTTGTCTTTGATATTTGCACGACCACCTGGGAGGTGGAAGGATTGCTCTTCAGCACATTAGCACAGAAGTTGTATGGGAGCACCTCTAGCTTTCCTTTAAAGATAAAACAGAGGTTAGTTGTGGTATCCCTTTCAAGAAGTGACATATTTGAAGCTGACACTTGAAAATTGTCAATAACTAGTTTAATAGTTACAGTTTTTTCTTTTGGGGGATGTGTGTGTAGTAATTTTAATATCCCATTGAAAAGATTATGAAATGAGATAATGCATGTGAATTTCTAGTTCAGTGTCTGGCACATAGTAAGTATTTGATACCTATTAGTTATTAACTTGTTTTTATAATACTTGCTAATTAATCTTTGTGTGTATTTTCAGAGAGCAATTGCTTACCTTTTTCCAAGTGGTTTGTTTGAGAAACGAGCCAGGCCAATAATGAAGGTAGTTATCTTAATTACTATTTTTAAAAATTTCACTTAGTTTTATATGTTACAGTAATTATCTAATACACTTTTAATTTATTTTACAGCATCCTGAACAGGTTTTTCCAAAACAAAGAGGTGAGTTTGCTAACAAATGAAATAAAGTTTTTTGCAGTGTTAGATTACATATCAGCAGTTGCTCACGTATTACAGAATTGCCCTCCTATGTCATGATAAACCTGAAATAGGTCAAAAATATTTTGCAATTGATAACGATTGGCTGAAGTTTGCAAACTTTTTTTTTTTAATTAAATAATATTAAAATTACATCAGGGTAGAGGTTGTGCCTATACTGTTGTAGCACTAATTATTTGCATTCTAATACACCTGTTTGAGGTTGAGTTTGGTACAGATCTGCTGGCAACTTATTCAACTTTTGTTTATATGCAAATTTTTTTTCTGCATTGTGGGAGCATATTTTCATTGAATATAGATTTTTTGTTGTTGTTGTTCTTTCAGCACTTTAATGTTGTAATTCCATTGTTTCATCTTGCATTTTTTCTGATGAGCAGCTAGCCATCATTCTTACTGTGTTCCCTGTTTTCTCTGGCTTCTTTTTAAGATTTTTTTTCTCTTTCTTTTAAATGTGTAAAAAAAAAAAAAAATCTTGAAGAAGATACACAGCAAGCTTTCAACTTGCCAGGAAATTAAATATATATTTACTATACATTATAAGCTTCTTAACCAATGTGGACTGGTGGTAGTTGTCAGTTAGTTTTAAAAGTATTAAAGCTAGAAAACATTTCTTAAAAAACACTCAAAATATAAACTTGCATTTAATTATTCATCTTTTGATATACAGGATTTTTTTTGGAGTATATGTCTTTTCCTCCCTATTTCTTTTGTATAACCATGCCCTGATGCATGAACATAGTTTTTCAGGTTTGATTTCTTTACAGTAAAGCAAAGAACTTAAAGAAACTTCTTTAGAAATATGAATTTTTTTGTGTTTCTATGAATTTTTCCCCTCAACCACACCAAAGTTGAACAATTCTTTTCTTTTTTTTTTTTTTTTTGTCTTTTTGTCTTTTTTCCGTGTCCGGCAATGGATCG